TTTTGCTTTCTTAAATAATGACTTTTGTTAAATTCCACTGTACTTTCTTAAATATTGAGATTTTTAAAGATATAAGCTCATCCCAATATTACACTAATTGAGACCTTTCATTTGAGTACCCACATGCATTTTTGATATATTTTTCATATATCCATATATATAATATATATAAATATATGAAAAATTGATGTGGATACTCAAATGAAAGGTCTTGATGAGTGTAACATCGGGATGAGCTTATATCTTTAAAAGTGTAAATATTTAAAAGAGTACAGTGCAATTTAACAAAAGTTATTATTAAACAAACCAAAATTTTATTTATTTATAGTTCACATAGTGTCTGCAAGGTTGTTAGTACATAATTGATAATTTTTTTTATATTACAGGTAATATTATTTAATAATAATTTTTGAAAAATGGCTGATGAAGTAAAGCAGTATGTTGAAAATAAAGAATTACAAGAGCGATGCAGCCAGTGGGTAGTTCAAAGCATATCCTCATCAGCTGGGAGTTTGAACATAAATCAGAAAAGAGAACGCGATAAAGATAGTGATTTTGATGTATCCGAGTGCTTTGACACTGATTCTGAGTTTGATTCAGTGTCTGAGTGTGGAGGAAAAAAACGCAGATTAAACACTCACTCGAAAGAAGAAGTCTTGCATTTAATTTGCGAGTGGAAGGACTGTCAGTACACATCCACAGTTGTCGAGCGTTTTGTTCATCATGTTGCTAACCACGTTACTGATCTTGAAGTTAAAGTTTCCAATGGTAGTAAAAATATTGCGATGAATGATATTGATGGTAGCAATAATGAAAATATTGTAATAGTTGAAGATGGTGATAAGGAAAAAGATCATACATGCGAGAAAGGAGTTTATGTTTGTAAATGGAAACATTGCGGGTATGAAAATGATAGCACACCAGTTATTATTAAGCATGTTAATTATCATGCCTATCACACTAAATTGAAATGCATTGGTGCTAATTTACGGAGTAAAATTAAATTACCGGTAAGTTGTTTTTTTTTTTTTATATTTTCAATAAATTATTTTTTGAGTTGGTTGTATTTTTTTTGTCAGTTGTTTGATTAACTGAGTCAATAGATTAAGTTAAATATTATACAAAAATCAATAAAATAATTTATGGTTTATAATATTTGAACAATTGATAAAAGTTTAAAGAGATAAGAAAATTATAAAAATTATTTAATCAATATTATTGAAAGAATAAGAAAAATTTTGTGTCTAGGGTAGCCATATGATGATAAGTATTAAGGCTGCATTTGAAAATGACCTTGTATCTTGTGAACTATTGACATTTTTACAGATATAAGCTCATCCTGACGTTACACTCTCCAAGACCTTTCATTTGAATACCCACATCAATTTTTCATATATTTATATATATTATATATATGTATATATGAAAAATATATCAAAAATGCATGTGGGTACTCAAATGAAAGCTCTTGATGAGTGTAACATTAAAATGAGCTTATATCTTCAAAAATGTCAATAATTAAGAAATGACCTTTTACCTTGTGAACTATTGACATTTTTACAGATATAAGCTCATCCCGATGTTACTCTCGTCGAGACCTTTCATTTGAATACCCACATCAATTTTTCATATATTTATATATATTATATATATGTATATATGAAAAATATATAGAAATGCATGTGGGTACTCAAATGAAAGCTTTTGATGAGTGTAACATCGGGATGATCTTATATCTTAAAAAATGTCCATATTTAAGAAAGTACAGTGCAATTTAACAAGAGTAATTATTTAATAAAGCAAAATTTTATTTATTTATAGTCCACATTATATTTCAGAAATGTCAACGGGAAAGATTAGCAGTAACATTTGATTCATCAGTACTATTAATCTGCGACTGGGAAGAATGTTTGAAGCCATTTAATAATTTTCAATTATTTTTGTACCACGTTACCCAACACGCAGAGAATAATCCACGTGGTAACAAAGTTAAAAACGGAGTAAAGTGCCTTTGGACTGGATGCAACAGTACTTGTTCGAGTGTTCACAAACTCAAGGATCATATTAAATGTCATACTAAAGAAAAAGTTGTGGCTTGTCCAACTTGCTGTGCGGTGTTTGCGTCCAATACAAAATTTTTTGACCACTGCCGCAGGCAAATATCTATAGAAAGTAATTATTAATATTAATAGGCATTTATAATTTAAAAAAAAAAATTTTTTTTAACTAATTTATTATCATTTATTTATAGCTCAAGGATTTCAATGTTCTTACTGCACAAAATTTTATCCAACTGAAAATATTTTACGTGAACACATGAGGTTTCATATATTCAGGTACAAATGCAAATTTTGTGACATGAGTTGCGAGTCACCAGCGTCTTTAGCTAAGCACGTTAGATATCGACATGTCAGTACACGACCATTTCGCTGTCAATTGTGTACTCATGCTGCTAAATCAGAACAAGATTTAGATTCTCATATGACAGTACATACCAATGGACCTAATTTTTATTGTAATAATGAAGGTTGTTCTTATACTTGTAAAAATGCTTATGTATTAGACAGGTAATTTTTAATTTTTTTTTTTTTTTTTTTTTTTTTTTTTACATTCATTAAATTAAACCTAAAGAATGTTTTTTAATTTGTTATAAAAATTTCAAAAGTTGTCAGATGTCCGCTGATTTGTATCATAATATTTCATTTAATTTCAGACACATTGAACGTGTCCATAGATCAGAAGTTAGATGGTATTGTTGTCACGAATGTCCAATAAAGTATCGAAAAAGTTACAACTTAACGAAACATTTAATGAGAACTCACAATCTCCGATGGCCTGACGGACACAAAAGGTTTCAGTATACAAGGGTTGAGGATGGCTGTTACCGGTTACAAATGGTACGATATGAATGTATTGATGAAGAAGAAGGCGGTGCGAGTGATTTAGTTATTGAAGAGGCCGAGTTACCGTCAAAGGATTATAAAATAAAAATTAATACTGATTCACGTATTCCTAATATTGAAGTAAGTTTTTTTTTTTTTGTAGTATATCTTTTGTAATTTATGTAAATACTAATAATTGTAATTATTCATTTATTTACAGATTTTTGAAGACAATGCCGACGACAGTAATACAGAATTAGAAGTGAATACAGATGTTGAAGACAATGTTTGCAAATCTATGCCAATAATATCAAATATTTTAATTTCTATTGACGAAGTTGATGAAGATGGTAATATTATCAATCATCAAGTATTTGAAGCCCAAGAGACCAAAACTTTACCATCTTCAGATGGATTACCTGTTATTTTAGGTGTTTAAATTTTAGATTTAAATTGCACTGAGAAAAAAAATTTATTTTTAAAAAATGGGCATTGTTGTAACAAAAAAAAATTTATTTGGTAATTATTTACGAGTGGGGTCTACTATTTTAATTTTTTTTTGTAAATTTTGATATATTTTTTTTGAAAAATACTTAAAAAAATTAACAATTTAAAAATCAAAAGTTGATTATCACAATTAAAAAAAAAAATTTATCAATTTTTTTAGAAAATTCTAATATTTAATTTTTTTTTTTAAATTGTTCATTTTTTTATGTACTTTTCAAAAAAAAAAAAAAATATCAAATAGAAATTTTATCCAAAAACATGAGCCAAAATTTTTTCTAACTTTCAAATATGATTTTTTAATTAAAATATTAATTTTTTGATTATTATTATTATATTTATTACAATGTATGGCATTAGTGACTGCCCTTTACATTTTTTTCACGTGCTAATAAATATATTTATATATATTAATTAAAAAAAAAAAAAAATTAATGGCCAAAAATAGGTTTGACCTTACTTGTAAATAATTACCAAAAATTAATTTTAAAAAATTGGGACAAAAAATTAATTTTTTAAATAAATTAATTTCTTGCAAAATTATTCATTTAAAAAAAAAAATTTTTCTCAGTGCATGGTGACTAAGTATAATATAAATGAAATGAGCAATTTATTTCATGGTGATAAATTATTTTTTATTAGGTGATTAATAAAAAATAATATAAATATAAATAATAAAAATCGTAGACTTGAATACTTAAATAAGTAATTAAATACAATATCTTTTGGCTTGTTTACGTATTTTAAAAAAATAATACAAAAAGTATTTTTATAATTAAATATAAAACAAATCTAAATCTCAATAAAATAAAATTGATAATTTTTGACATAATTAAAATTTAAATAATTAACAAAGTTACATAGACTCAAAATAATTAATAAGTATGTTCAATTAATTGGTAGTATTATTTATAATTGTTGAAATTTTTATGTATAGCTTATACATTTAAATAAAAAATTGATTATAGTTTAATGATGATGGTATTACAGTACCCGCTGAGCATGTAAAGACAATTAGGGTAATGAATTTATGTACAGATGTGGTAAATAGGAACAGTAGATAGAAAAGACTGAATTATAATTTATAGTATGTAACAGTATAATTAGTTAATTAGGTATAGACAAAATAATCAAGCTAATTTAGATAAAGGCCGTTTATCAGATATGTAATTAAAGCTGATCAAAGTGATCATGATTGCTGATTCAAAAAATCAACGGAAGAATACCAATAATTCAATTAATTGACATTAAGCTCAAATATAATTCTATTTTTTTTTTTTTAAGATTAATTATTATCAGTACTTAGTAAATAAATATTGAAATTATATGCTTATAATTTAAAATAAATAAAGCAGACTTATACTTCGTGATCGAGTAGTCGATCATCACGACGGAATGAATAACGCGGTGGATTGTGACAAGGAAAGAGCCACAAAATAGGATGACTTTTGCCGCAGACCTGGGAGAGAAGTGTGATAGCACGACGTGATTTTGGATGATGGTGGTAGTGATTGTGTCCACCCTGAAGCCGCTCAATTGCTGTTTCATCTCCGAGAATCGCTTGGAATTGATCTACTAGGATTGCTACCACGAACATTCCGAATAGAGCTGATTCCAGGACTAATATCACGCAATGCAAGCTAGAATAAAAAAAAAAAATTTTAATAATCGTAATTTAATACTTTATATTAGGAGTTTGATTTATGCTTTAAAAAGTAGCATTGAAAGTAATTGTTACTTACATTCTACTTTGTTTTATAGTTACATCAGTACTACATTCCGGGCAATCAGTAACCCATGAAACAATTACCAATGAAATAGCATAAACGGCAAGTACACCAACGTATACGAGAAATTGAATAAAATACTTTTGATTACGTTCTCCAACACAATTGTTTATCCTACAAAATAAATTAATGAAATTAAATCAAAGATACTTTAATATTAAAATATCTAGATTAATTGACATTTTTAAAGATATAAGCTCATCCCGATGTTACACTCATCGAGACCTTTCATTTGAGTACCTACATCAATTTTTCATATATTTTATATATATTTATATATATTACATATATGTATATATGAAAAATATATCAAAAATGCATGTGGGTACTCAAATGAAAGCTCTTGATGAGTGTAACATCAGGATGAGTTTATATCTTTAAAAATGTCAATAATTAAGAAATGACCTTGTATCTTGTGAACTATTGACATTTTTAAAGTTATAAGCTCATCCCAATGTTACACTCATCGAGACCTTTCATTTGAGTACCCACATCAATTTTTCATATATTTTATGTATTTATATATTATATATATGTATATATTAAAAATATATCAAAAATGCATGTGGGTACTCAAATGAAAGCTCTTGATGAGTGTAACATCGGGATGAGCTTATATCTTTAAAAATATCAATAGTTAAAAAAGTATAGTGCAACTTAGCGAAATTCATTATTTAATAGCAAAATTTCATTGTATAAAACTGGATTTTTCATTAGGACTTTTAATTATAAAATTAAAAAAAAAAAATTTATCTAGACTTATAAAAAAAACAATTTTAGACAGGCAACTTGACAATTTTTCCTCCAAAAAAATTTTAGATAAAATTTTCTACAAATTAATTATGATTGAATTTATGCTATAACAATGCTTATTATTGAAATAAATAATTACCATGGACAATGATGATCCATTCTCCGAATACACCTCTCGCAAATTCTACAATGATGAGCCCGAGGCGGCCGGTAAGTCTCGCACCTGGTGCAAACACTCCAATCATCTCTTTCCTCGCAATCGTCACTAGCTCCAGAGCCACCAGTGTGGATGTCAGAAAAGTCCATCCTGGTTTGAGGAAGAGGAACTACACCTGGATCGCTGCATATTGCCTTCAAATGGGACATCATCAGCAACAGTAGAATCGTGTTGAAAGAAACCACGTGAAATGGGCCCCACAAACTAGAAATAAATAAAAATCATTATAATATGTAAATTGTTATAGTTTTTTAATTATTAAAAATAAGAAAGTACCTGTCTTGCATCGTATGCAAAATAATCCATCGTATGACAACATAATCAGCGTAAAATACTGCGATATACGTCACTAAAATACAGACTATTCCGCACGGGTCTTTTACAAACATTTTTAAAAATTATTTCCAACAAATAAATTGTTTTATTAAGATAATTATCACCATAAAATCATTTTAAAATTTATTGCCATTTTTTTATTTATCATTTTTTTTTTGTTCTAATTAATTAAAATATAAAATTAATTAAAACTTGTCACAATAAATTGGAACATTTATTTTTAAATAAAAGTTTATGTTTTTTTTTAATTTGTTCATGTGAATTGTGACGTAGCAAATGTTGTTGTATTGATTTAACGAATTTAAATAAATAAATCAAGGTTGTTTACTCATAATAATAACAAACAGTATAAAAACTAATTATTTGTTTAAAAATATAATTGTTAAAAAAGTAAATTATATTTACATAAATAATTTAGTTATTTATAAGATAAGTTACCGTTTTTATTTATGTAATTTTTTATTAATAAATAACGTCATAAATAATAATAATAATAACAATCACATGATTGAATTAAATCATATCACTCCAAAGTATTTTATAAATATTTCAATACACTTTTAATCTTATCACTGATAAACAAAAATTTTTTTTTCATTCAAGTTTAATTGTTAGTTTAGTTGACAATTGACATATGGCTTCGGCTTATTGTTTTTTTTATTTTTCATAACAAAAAATAGACAACTGTATTTTTTACAATTCAATGTCTGGTATTCACAAGTTGTTAGTAATTTCACCTACAGATGACACTTGTTTATAAAACTTTATTTAATTTATTTTACAATTGTAAGTGTCAATTATTAAATTATCAATAATTAAAAGTACTCATATTTAATCCACTTAATTACACAATAATAAACAATAATTATTAATTATTTCATTGTTTTTTTTTTTTTTTTTTGGCAGTTTTTAATAATACTGAAGTTAGCTGTCAGCTGTTAATTTTAAAAATTTTTTTAACAAGTCAATTACAATAAAAAATTCTTCTAAAAATTTTCACTTGTAATTTTTATTAATTTTCACTTGTGGAATTTTCATAACACTAAATTTAGCCGATGTTTTTAATTTTTTAATTATTAAATTACTAAAAAATTATATATATAAAAATCACTTTTTTTCTTTTTTTTGGAACCAATCAAAATAATAAATATAATTCTAAATTAAGAAACAGATGACAGTGCCTCTGTTGAGCGACAAATGAGTAAACCTTGCAAATATTATTATGATTATTGTTGATGTTATTAGTGTAATTATTATTATTATTAATTGAACTCGAAAAATTCCAAGTAAATACATCAAAGTTCATTTCTACGAAATGCTAAAAAATTAACGGCTGTAATGTCTATCTTAAATTTTTTAATACATTTTTTTGTCGATTATTAAAAAATAATATTTGCATTACATATATTTGGTTAATTATTTTGTAGAATATATTTGACATATTTTTATTGCCGTTGGTTAGGTAACTATTTTTATTTTTGTGATAATTATTGTTGACTTGTTTTTTTATAGATAATTAATTGATAAATTTTTATTTACAGAATTTTTAAGAATTAAAAATGCCGAGACGTAAAAACAATCATTGGAAGCCGGTGATAGGAGAAGACACACGTATTGCTGTTAATTTGTGTGTAAAAAAATTGATAGAATCACCAGATTTAAAAGAACTTGAATTTCCATCATCCTACACTGCTGAAGAAAGAGCTTATGTTCACAGTTTAGTTCAAGAGTTGGGCCTCAAATCCAAAAGTCGGGGGTAAATTTTTTTTATATAATGTTTTCTCAGTTTGAGTGCAATTTAAAATAATAAAAACATATTTTTTAATTACCTTTTTGTTTTTTTATTAATATAGAAAAGGAGCAAATCGTTTTTTGACAGTGTATAAAAGAGAAGGATCAACAATTATTCAGTCAGACCCAGTGTTAAAAATTCAGAAAACATCAAAGCAAGGAATTTTTAATTTAATACAAAAGTTTCCTATTAACAGTAAAGAACGTCAAGATTTATTACCACCGACTGAACGTGAACGAACTGTTGACAATGAAGGTAAAGAATCATTCATTAAATACTTTAATATCTATATTAATTATAATTTTCAATAAAAAATTTATGATACTGAATAATGAAAATTAGCCGAGATATTTAAATTTTTATAATCTATGTCAATAAGAAATGACATTGTATCGTGTCAATCAATGTTATTTTTAAAGATATAAGCTCATCCCGATGTTATACTCATCAAGACCTTCCATTTGAGTACCCACATCAATTTTTCATATATTTTATATATATATATATTATATATGTGTATATGACAAATATATAAATATGCATGTGGGTACTCAAATGAAAGCTCTTGATGAGTGTAACATCGGGATGAGCTTATATCTTAAAAAATGTCAATAATTAAGAAATGACATTGTATCTTGTAAACTATTGACATTTTTAAAGATATAAGCTCATCTCGAGATTACACTAATCAAGACCTTTCATTTGAGTACCCACATCAATTTTTCATATATTTTATATATTTATATATATTGTATATATGCATATTTATTTATGAAAAATATATCAAAAATGCATGTGGGTACTCAAATGAAAGCTCTTGATGAGTGTAACATCAAGATGAGCTTATATCTTTAAAAACATCAACAGTTAACAAAGTACAGTGTAATTTAACAATAGTCATTATTCAATAAAGCAAAATTTTATTTATTTATAGTTTGCAAGTCACGGCAGTCACATAGTGACTTTATAGCTAGTTTTTTTTTTTTTTTATTAAAAAAATTATTTCACAAAAATTAAAAAAAATAATCTCATGTCAAAAATTAAAAAAATTAAGCGTGCAATTTTTTCTAAGTACTTTTTTTACTTGTAATTTAAGTGATGAATCAAAGATTTTTTACTAAATAAAAAAAATTTATCAAAAACTTTCTATATGTTTAAATTAAAAAAAATCACAAGTTCGAATTTAAAACAAAATTTTTTTTTATAATTGACTAATTATAAAAATTCTAATTATCTTTCCAGTAATCGTAAACGCAAAAGCAATGGGCCGCCTGAACAACAGCATTCCTCAAGTGCCTCAACTGCGCACGAACCAAGACCTAGTAAGCTTCCGCAAAAGCCTCCCAGTCTACAGCTCTCGTGAAAAAATCCTCGACGCCCTATCATCCAGCCAAGTAGTCCTAATAGCCGGGGAAACAGGTTCCGGCAAAACGACCCAAGTCCCGCAGTACATCCTCGAGAACTGCCAACAGCGCAACCAAGTCTGCCGAATAATCTGCACCCAGCCCCGCCGCTTATCCGCAGTCTCCATCGCTGAGCGAGTCGCTTACGAGCGTGACGAGAAAATCGGCCAAACCTTCGGGTACCAAATCCGGTTGGAAAGCCGCGTGGCTCCCAAAACTCTCCTAACTTACTGCACCAACGGCGTGTTACTCCGCACTTTAATGGGCGGCGACTCCGCCCTAGCAACAGTGACCCACATAATCGTCGACGAGGTCCACGAGCGTGACAGATTCTGCGATTTTTTGCTAATCGCCCTCAAAGACGCTCTAGTAAAATACCGAGCTTTAAAATTAATCCTCATGAGCGCCACAATGGACACAAACATCTTCTCAAAATACTTCACTCAGTGCACTGTAATAAACATCAGCGGGCGCAGTTTCGACGTGGACACTTACTACCTTCAAGACGTTTTAAAAATGACCGGCTATATGACCAAAGAAATGTCCGCTAAGCGCAAAGAATTGCTAAATAAAAAAGACCAGCGCAAAGTTTTGGAATCTTGGACCCAGTGTCCTCCTCAGCAGACAAATTCTCGCCTTCAGTCCCACAAAAATGTCTTACCATCTCCAATATTAGGCCAGCAGAGCGACTCAGTCCCCGAAAAAATAGAACTAGAACCCTGGCTGGCGGAAGAAATGGACAAGAGCATCTGCGACGCATGGCTCGTCGGCGGAGAGGACAATTTCACTCAACTTTTACACTTAATCTTATCAGAAAACATTTCTGTGGATTATCAGCACTCAATAACTCGCGTAACACCGCTAATGGTCGCCGCAGGCCGCGGGTCAATAAACACAACCGAGCAATTGTTGAACCTAGGCGCAAACTTGACCATCAGAGCGAGTAATGAGTGGACTGCTTTGGACTGGGCGAGAAAAATGAACCAAGTTGAGTGCACTGAGTTAATAGAAGCCTACATGAAGACCTACGATTGCAACCTTGATGACCAGCGCGACACTCAGCTAGATGCTCCTTTAACTGAAGAGGAGAAATTAATCCTAGATATTTATCACAACACTTTTAATGATGACAATATAGACTACGACCTCTTGTTACTTCTAATTTTTCATATTCACTCTTCAATGTCCGCGGGGTCCATCCTAGTTTTTTTACCGGGCTACGACGACATCGTTACGATGAGAGAGAAGATTTCTAATGAAGAAAAAAGGTGTCTTGGGTTGAGAATTAATTTATTTGTTCTGCACTCTAATATGCAGATGAGCGACCAGAAGCGCTTGTTCAGACCTTGTGCGCCTGGAACGAGAAAAATAATTCTTTCTACTAATATTGCGGAGACTAGTATCACTATTGATGATGTTGTCTTTGTGATAGACTCGGGGAAGGTCAAGGAAAAGTCTTTTGACGCGATTAGCAATGTGTGCACGCTCAAATCCAACTGGATTTCGCAGGCTTGTGCAAAGCAGAGAAAAGGAAGAGCTGGGAGGTGTCAAAAGGGAATTTGCTACCGGCTTTATTCTTCAGTGAGATATAATAGCATGCAGCCGTATCAGACCCCGGAGATTCTGAGGCTGCCGCTTCAGGAACTGTGTTTGTTTACCAAGCACTTGGCTCCGGGGAACACTCCAATTGCGGAGTTCCTGGAACGCGCTTTGGAACCGCCGTCTAATATGATCACTAGGAACGCGGTGCAGCTGTTGAAGTCTATTGATGCTTTGGATGCTTGGGAAGATCTTACGGAGCTGGGGACGCATCTTCTGGACCTGCCGGTGGAACCGAGATTGGGGAAGATGCTGCTCTATGCGGTGGTCTTGAAGTGTTTGGATCCGATTCTGACGATTGTTTGCAGTCTGGCTTATAAGGACCCGTTTGTGCTGCCGCATCAACCGTGTCAGAAGCGTGCAGCTACCGCTGCTCGCAAAAAGTTTGCTGCTGATACTTACAGGTAAGTGCGTTTACGAAAAAAATTGTTTATAACACAATGTTATATAATGATACATTTTCTTTATAAAATTCTTAAATTAAAAAAAAAATTATGCTTTCTATAGTGTGCTTGATTTTCAGTACATCTTTTGGTGTGTTTTTATCGATTATTGTGCTAAATAAAAAAAAAAAAAAATAAATGCATGGAATTTTAATTTAAATATTAAAAGGTCGCTCAAAAAAATCTAAAGTAATGCGCGAATAATTAAAAAAAAATTATGAGCGACCTTTTAAAATTTGAATTTTCAACTGAAACTTTCAGGAACTTATTTTTTTTGGTCTATAAAATTATGACGTAATGAGAAAAAAAAATAAAAATTAGATTTTTGACGAGTTTTGGAATTTAAAAAAATTTGGAGCGATCTCTTAAAAATTTTTTTTTTAACCTGTCCTTTGGGGAGAGTTCTTAAAACATCAAAAAGTAACATTTTTTCAAAAGGTACAATTAAATAAATTATTATTATTATTATTATTATTATTACAGCGACCACATGGCTGTGCTCAGAGCCTTCCAAGCCTGGCAACAGGCAAGAGCTAGTGGATGGGAGAGACAATTTTGTGATAAGAATTTTATTTCTTCGGCTGTTATGGAGATGATTGTTGGAATGAGGACCCAGATGTTGGGACAATTAAGAGCTTCTGGGTTTGTTCGAGCTAGAGGTGCTGGAGATATTCGTGACCTTAATTTGAACTCTGAAAATTGGGCTGTGGTTAAAGCTGCGCTCACTGCGGGGTTGTATCCCAATTTGATACGTGTTGATCGAGAGTATGGACAGTTGAGGACTCAGAAAGAGTCTAGAGTTTTCTTGCATCCTTCTTCGACACTGAGAGACTTTTCTAAGTCGGCAAGAACTACTTCTGCACAGAGTCACGCTGCTGGGGTTACAGGACTGCCCTCGGATTGGCTGGTTTATGAAGAGATGAGTCGCTCAGGGAGATTCTGTCATGTCAAGACTGTTACTTTGGTCAATCCGGTGACTATTGCGCTTTTTAGCGGACCTGCGAGATTACCTATGGATCTTATTTATGACACTGAAACGGTACCTGAGAGCGAGTCGGACTCCGAGGCGGAGGACAGTAGGGAAGGCATGACTATTTTGAAGCTCGATGATTGGATCGCGATGAAGGTTGATTATGAGACTGCGAGGCTGGTGCTTTACTTGAGACAGAAGTGGAACGCTTTGTTTCTCAGGAGAATGAAGACCCCGAATAAAAATATGACCCAGTTGGATGAACTGGTGATCAAGGCTGTTGTGTCGATTATTAGTAATGAGGAGCATGCTTGTGAGCTACAGCAACCGGCGGGGATTGGGCAACGACCTAGACCTTTGATTGTCGATTATTATCCTGCTAATGCTCGTAGGACTGATGATGAACATGTAAGTTTTTTTTTAAGTAGTATTTAGAGGGAAAAAAAAATTACTTAAAGCAATTATTAGGTAATTTTGAACTGTTTCTTAAATATTGACCTTTTTAAAGATATAAGCTCATCCCGATGTTACACTTATCAAGAGCTATCATTTGAGTACCCACATGCATTTTTCATATATTTTTCATATATACATATATATAATATATATAAATATATGAAAAATTGATGTGGGTACTCAAATGAAAGGTCTCGATGAGTGTAATATCGGGATGAGCTTGTATCTTTAAAAATGTCAATAGTTAAGAAATGACATTGTATCTTGTAAACTATTGACATTTTTAAAGATATAAGCTCACCCCGATGTTACACTCATCGAGACCTTTCATTTGAGTACCCACATGGAATTTTTTATATATTTTATATATATGGTATTTATGATGTATATAAATATATGAAATATATGAAAAATTAATGTGGGTACTCAAATGAAAGATCTCGATGAGTGTAACATCGGAATGAGCTTATATCTTTAAAAATGTCAAGTTAATTTTTTTTCTATTCTACATATCACGTCTATCTTAATTTTTAAATATTCTATAAAAATTAAGACGTATTATTAGATTTATATGAAGATATATCTATATTAATTATTATTTTTTTTTGTTGCAGAAATTCCTGAATTAATTACAAAATAGATATATTTACTCTTTTATACTTGACATAGTCTATCTCGCTGGTGATAATTAAAATTATTATTATTTATAAATATTAAAGTGGTATTTTAGAGTTAAATATATTTCAAGGATAGTTTGTAATTTAATAATACAGGTTATGGAAATTTAGTCACTGATTTTAATACTCATAGTCTTAGTAGTAATATTTAATGATTTTTGATTGCAGTATTATAAAAAATAAGTTTTGTAAAAGAGGTTATTTAATAATTTATCTTTATATTGCGATCTCTTTAAGTTTATTACTGAATGCGGCTGAAATATTTATACTTTTCTTTTTTTTTTTTTTTTTTTAAAGGTTTATTT